ATAGAAAAATAACCTTCCACCCAAACCCCATCCCGCCCCTTGCCCAATGTTTTACGCCACTACCTTTCTACACCACCACCACCACCTTCCTCTGATTTCACCACTGTCAATGTCGAGTCCTAAAGTCACAATTTCAATCTCAATTAAAATTTCAAAACCCAATTTCAAAGCAAAAATTCGAAATTGCAAATATGGGAACAACCACAATACTCCGAAGGTGGTGGCATGGCATAAGATTGGGTTCTTTTATTCTCAGTCTACATCATTATTTTTATTTTTATTTTTTATTTTCTATTTTTGTCAAGTCAATTTATTATTTGTTTGTATTTTATTTTTATAGCAAGAAAAAAAATACTGTAAGATTCACGAACGTTAAAATATATATTACTTGATAATGTATTAGTACAAAATTGCCCTGTTTTACCAAATAATCAAATTCATTAAATAAAATGTAATAAAAGAATTTCTAAAAAATCCAAATTAATGAGTTTCCCACTTTTTCGTTTTGAGAAAAAGTTTTTGAGAATGAAAAACCAAACGCATTTTCTGTAATCTTAAAACATATCTTCAAAACTGAAAATTGAAACACAAACCAAAAGGGACCAAAATGTTTCTTGATAAATTTGGAGCTGACTACATGAATCTTTTTTCGTCACAATACACTCTAGATGATCTATTGTACAGGGGCTTGAGTTTGGGTATGAAATTCTAGTTCTTCATTTTGTATTGTTTTCTCTCACATTGAAGAACAGATTTGGGTATGAAATTCTCGTTCTTCATTTTATTCTTCTTAATTTTTTCCTGATTTGTAGATGGTGTTACAAATTAGATCTTGGGTCCTATGGCTTCTGCTGTGCACGATACTGCTATTATTCTTGGAGTGCATAATGCTTTCCAACTTCTTGAGACTCCTGTATGAATTTTTTTGTCAAAATTTGATACTGACTACCAGTTGGAGGTGTAATTATTTTCTATCGGTTTATCTATTTTTTCTTCATTCGAAAATTTTGGGTTCATCGAGATCTTTGGTAAAAGGTTTTGTGAGCCTTTTCTTTGAATTTAATTAGCAATTTCTTTTGGTATGGCATTGGTTAGCGAGCTATAGAAAGGGCTGATGTTATAGGTCTTTATTGGACCAATAATCAATGCTCAGTGCAGAGGAATGAGCATGCAACGGTCAGATTCGGGTGCATAAACTGAAGATCTGATACCCTCAAGACAAGTGCATGCTTGCCGTATTCTAGCTTCAAACCTCATCCCTTGATTTGACGTTCAATTGATCTCGTTATCTAACTTTGAGTTTGAGTGTTTATTCCAAAGGATATTCAATAAAAATGAAAATGGATAATTTGATTGGACAATGTTCTCTTTTGATATTTTAGGGAGTAATGTATCTTTATGTGACGAGTTTCTTTCGGGTGCACATTTTTCTTTAATTACTCTTTATATATTAACTTCAGCATCTTGAATTAGACTATTTCTCTAACTTTTGGCTATCTATAATAAATTGTATTGCCTAGATACCAACTTGACTAATTAGCATTTCATTCAACATCAGGAATATATGTTGGGAATGGAACTGTGATCCATTTCACTCGGGGACCGGGTCAGGAAATTGGGACAGGAACGGTGTTAGATCGTTTCATTTTCAGCTCGTCTCCATCCGATCCCTCCAAGCCCCCATGCCCGATATGTGGTGATCAGTCAAAGTCTGATGGTGTCATCTCTTCTTGCCTGGAATGTTTTCTTTATGGTGGTGAGCTATATCTGTTTCAGTATAGTGTCTCACCAGCAATGTTTCTTGCCAAAGCTCGTGGTGGAACGTGTACTCTTGCCCCTTCTGATCCACCTGAAGATGTCCTTCACCGTGCTGAATATCTTCTTCAAAATGGTTTTGGTGCCTACAACATTTTCAAGAACAACTGTGAGGATCTTGCAATATACTGCAAAACAGGTTTGATAGTCTTCACAAACATTAGTGTTGGCCGGAGTGGGCAGTTAGCATCTTATTTAGCTGCTGCTAGTGCCGTTGTCTCATCGCCACTTCGCTTTTTGACTACTGGCTTTGCTGGTCTTACAGCAGTGGGATGTGGCATTTATTGTATTAGTCGAATTGTGTCCGATATTGGAGTACGACGTGATGTCATGAAAATCCCCGTTGAGAGGCTTGTTACCCACTCCCGCTCAGATAAGTCTGAAGCAGCAACTGAGACCCCGAACGAAGACTTATCTGTTCAAACTGGAAGTGACTGTTATGGTTAGCCAATTCGCTCCCTTATTGTGATCGCCAGGGAGAATTTATTTAAACATTATTCTGCAGGCTTTCCTGTTAAATGTTACCATAGTTCCGTTTCCGTGTCTTTTTTTTTGTGCATTTGAAAATGTCATGGTGGTGTGTGAAAAACTAGTCCATATTGGTGTACTTGGAGTTGCATTTATGTAAACTTGGTCCTCAGAGTTCTCTTGTTTATTTTTCTTTTTCGTGATGTCCTTTTGTTCCTCGTTCGGGTTTTGTTTGTCTGTCCTCATTGTATATAAATACCAAACTCAGATGGAAAAGTTCACTAAAGCAAAATATTTTGCTCTTTCACATTTCTACACGTGAAATGATTTAAAATCAGTGGACAGCTATCAGTAGATACCACAAAATTGAAGCTTGTATTCTTTACAGCTAAATGCTACACTCGAGAGCAAGCAAGTCACTCGACTCCACTCAGATGAAAGAAATCTTAGCACAATAAAGTCTCTTGGCTACGCCCATTGACTCCATCTGCATGGTAAAGAAAGAGTCCAAACAAGTCTAAGTACCTTGGATCCTCTCAGCCTCAGTTGACCAAGCGCGGCAAAGTCTCTTGGCTCTAGACGAGTTAGCCTATGACAAAGTCTAAGAATAACTAAACTCCTCGCTCATGCACATCACAACTCAATCTCACACGAAGTCCCCCCTTTACGATGTAAAGCACGATTTCTTTCGGCCACGAGTACAAGGGTCATCATTATTGTTTCGTTCTGCCAAGTAGATGAGGGTATAATAAGCCTTTAGCCCATCATTAAACAAAGCCTGTCGCATTTAGTCACAAATCACTTGAAAAGGCACACTTAACGAGAGAAAGAAATGAACTTCACAATTTCAAAAAATAAATACAAAGGTCATCAACCCTCTTATTGAATATGTGTAATCCGCATGGCTTCACTATAGCCTCAAGGTGCAATCACCATTCGGCTACTGTTAGTGTATCAAGCTTTCGAGCGACATGTAGCTCAACCAAACACCCGAATTAGGTATAACGTCGGTAGAGTCAATGGAGAAACTAAGCCACTGTTTGGTAGACGTAAAAATAAGATTTTTGACAAATTTTGATAAAAATTAATGAAATATATAATCGAAAAAATGTGAATCTCATAAAATATATGATTAAATCAACTTAACTTTAACTTTGATAAAAATTCATACTATAATATACATCAAACAAGGACTAAATTCCTTTTGCACCTCAATCTTCCACTCCAAATGGACAAGATACAAACATGCAAAAAGAGAGCAAATTATATAAACTTTCCTTGAGTTTTATGACAATAACAAAGATCTCTCCTCTTAACATAAGTTTCTCATCCGACCTTGCTTCTATATTTGTTTCTTAATTGTATTTTTACATTTTAATTTACATAATAATAATTTGTTTTTATTTCAAAAAGTTTATTATTTTTTATCTATTTCTACGGAATGATTTCAACTTAATCATATTTTTGTGAATTTTATTTTCTATTAAAAATGAAAAAAAATAAAATTCATCTAAAATATATATTACTAAAATGAACTAAAAAGAAACTAATATTTAATCTTATAATAATATTCTTTAATTTTCTAATATTAATATATAGTGTCAATATTAAGAGTACATAAACATAAAATTGGAGAAAAACACTACTAAATCTAGCAATCTGAAAAATTTATTGAGTTTTCAGTTAACTTTGTTAAATTATTCTAAACATTTATGTATGTTGACTTTTTAGTTGTTTATCAATCGTATTTGGAAAAAACAAAATCAAAATTATATATAATGGTATTTTTAATAAAGTTAACTTATCTAAATCAAAATAAATAATAAGAAAGAAAAGATATGATTTAAATATAATAAAAATAATAATTTAAAATAGTATAAAGGGGTAAAACGGTAAAAAATATATTTACCATTTGCCACAGAATAAAAATTTGTTATCGAAAGCAAATTTCATGTGTTTGGTTTATGTAATTCGCTAAAGAAATCTGTATTACATTTAGAAGGGGAAAAAAACAAAAGGACAAAATGATGAAGAAATTCCACAAGATAAATTTTGGCGCACGGAAAATAGACATGCATCTCATCAGATCTGATCTCCTGTCCATTATGAATAGAATAAAAACTTTTCACTGTTTTCTACGATAAACATATTTATTGTTTTCTCTATCTTGTCCATTAGAAATAGGAGATCAATTCTATACATCTCAATACTCGATTAGTTCAAGAATTGGGAAACATGCATGCTTGCTCCAAGTGCATGCATTGATTTCGACGCAACACCTAATACGGATACGTGTTGTCCATATTTTGTTTGGCAAGTGTACCTAAAAGTTAGGACTATCGTTTTCACTATTATCTAAAATATTGGTTAAACTATCCCTAACTTCTATTGCAATAAAATAATAAATAATGATTTTAATGATTATCTTAAATATTTTAAATTATAAAAGAAAAGTGTTAGAACTCACGATTTCACTATAATTCTTCCCGTTAATTTTGCTTTTCAAGATCCATTCCTAATCTAGTATTTAGTCGAAATCGTTAATTTAATCAATTTCTCTCTCTCAAGTTTAAATCAATATTATCTAACCGAGTGCACTCGTTATTACTCCACATAAATCATAGTGAGCCTCCATTATATGTATTAAACCTCCAAGGAAGTCAATTAATGACTAAAATAATAACAAAGCGTATTCTACCTTTTATATAATAGCAGATTTTATTCGTGGTCTGAATATCTAAATTACCTTTAGGTTTTTACAAATTCACAAAACAAAGAAATAGTTACCAATTACTTCAAAGACAATAAAGAATAAAAGAAAAGTCAACATATGAAAGAATTAAAATTTAAGAATCTTGAGAATTTAAATTAAAGGTTCACAACTAAGTGCCTGTTTGGGAGCGATTTTTCTACCAAAAAAAATATTTGACTTCTTCTTTTACAGGTGAACTCCACTTTTCTCTTAACGGTTAAAAAATTAATTCTCAAAATCACTCACAAACAGTCTCTAAATTATATCTATCGTACCAATTTTGCATTTATTTGTGAATGACAGAAAAAGAAAGATGCAAGAAGGAACTAAGTACATCGCTGAGTTTTTTAAGAAAAAGCGAAGATCATGCACCAAGAATTTGAAAAACCTTGTTCTTGATTTATTTTTCTGGATTTTCTCTCCCTTTTATTTCTATTCTTCTCTATAATTTTCTATGGTGCAACCCTCTTTCCCTTGACCTAAAATGGTCTATTTATACAGGTGGGCGAATTTTGCTTTGAAAAGGAATCAAAACGAATTAGTGAAAGTGAAGAAAAAAATTCAACATTACACATCAAATCAGGATTGAATAAGATCCATCACGGTAAGCAAACCACAATAACCAGTTAACCATGGAGAACAAGGGCTTGGCTTGGACCACAATTGATGGAGATTCGCGGCTAGCTGCGGTTCTCATAAACTTTCTGCAACGTTTCATTTTGGTCCTAGAAAATATTTTGTCAATTTTTGTCCTTTTTTCATCCTACTCTTCAATTTTGATCCTTGAACTTCCAAAATATTCGATTTCGGTCCTCTAAACTTCATAATCATCTTAAATTGGTCACTCAAAAGTATTGGAAATGGGCAAATTAGTCACAAAACTTTCCAAGAAGTTGAATTTCATCCCAAAACTTTGTAATTTTCTTTCTATTGCTCTCTTAATACTTCTTATCACTCTACAATGCGGTCCGAGCCAATTCCAAATTACCTTAATTAGACATTTTTTGTATTAACTGAATTCAAATATGAATTTCACCTACAATAACATAATTACACCATATTAGATAAAAATTCATCAATTAACAATGATTTTTCAAGTCTAATATGAAGAATTAGTTGTAAAAATATACTTATCATATCACACAATTTTTTATACATACTTGCTGCTCACACTCACCAATAGGTGACATCGAACTAAAGGGTTCAATGATCGTAAACACATGATCAACACAGGAGGGCTTGTGGACTAGCTTGGCTCAAATAAGCTGAACCAACCTTAAGTCAATGGGCCCTTTGTCATTCTATGATATTTGTGGTTTTACATTTATTCATTTTTCTTTGATGTAGATTTAATATAATATGTAAATT